GAATATAATTATTATACGTTTAATCCATATAAAATGCACTAATCTGATTACTAAACAATGTAGATGATAATCTGAATATTAAGCCAAATCTTTACGATTTTTACCATGTTTTAATTGCAATTATTTAAACGAAAAACTTTTTAAAACTTGCACGCAAGCTATTGTAAATAAATTCGAATTTCTTTTTTAACGTTCTGAAAATTCATTTTCCTATTGTTTTCGATTCTTAAAAGTGTATTAAATTTTTTTTATTACACACCAGGAAACAATTTAATATTCAACGTAAGCCTATTTTTACAGATTAATCATTTCATTTAAAATCTTTAAATTAATTATAAATTATTCAATTTATTAATAATGTATTCGATAAAAATATTAAATAACTTCTATAACTATTAATTTTTGTAATAAAAATAATAAAACGAAGAAAAATATGTAAGTAATAATACAGTATATTCCATACAGGGTGGCCCCGAAGTAATAGGGTAGTTGTATTATTTTTAACTGTCCTATTAATCCTGGGCTACCCTGTATTTTAATTATTTTCTAAGCAAAAGTTTAACATTCTTAGACTTATTTAAAACGAAAATAAAATAAAATATACAATTTAAATTTTAGAAATTTATTATTAAAAAAAATATTTATATATAGTTTCTGAATAAAATTTAAGAACGGAAATGGCAAGCTATCTATAGGATTAATTGATTTTTAAAGAAGAGGAAACAACTAACTTAAGTGATAAATTGATAAATTACTTTTTAATTGTGAGAGTAAAGGAAAACGAAGGAAAAATATCATTCCAAATGATAAGGAAATTTTAAGTTAAGTGAAGGGAACATGAAATACACTAAAAATTTTAATCAAATAAAATTAATTAGTATCGCTTAATGGACTCAAATCAGATTTACTTAAAAGTATAATCTTACGCATCAATTTGTTTATAAGCCGAGAGAGAGAGAGAGAGGGAATAAAGTATAAAAGTATATTGTTCTTTCTTCTCTTATACATTATATACCACAACTTTGATTATTACAAAAACAAAATGAAAATAATACAAGAATAAATTTACGTGTTAAAAAGCCGAAATTAATTATTAATTATAGACAAATGATTTAACAAGTTCATATGTTTTTACTGAATATTAAACAATCGCATTTTTCTAGGTACAGTACAAACGAGTTAATATATTGCAATTATTTTCTTCGTGCCGATAAAGATTAGGTATAATTTTTATTTTCGTCTTGCATAGTTATCGAGGTAAGCAGCCAGGACCACATCACATGGAGAAGCGATAGGGCGAGACAGGTACAATTTGTTGTTTGTGGTAGATGTGGACGACCGAACAAGATAATGACTTCTTATTCTAGCTGCGCTTGTCTCGGTTTAACCCGCAAACTTTAGAACAGAAGCATCTGCTCAATTTAAGATAGGATATCAAAGGGTTTTTTTTTCAATAACATTAGTTGCAAGTTTATTTCACAAAATATATAAAATTTGATTGGATTCTTTCTCTCTCCTTTATGATATAATATTTTAAATGTTCGTTTTTATATATATTCATTAATTTTAAATTAATAATAATATGTAAAATCTCGTTTCTTGTGCACAATAATTTAAATTTCGCTACTGTAACGAACAGTTTCAATGGCAGCAAGCCAATTATTTCAAAGGAGAAAAATTTAAAGGATACAGGCAGCAGGTTTTCGAATTTTTCAGAAAAATCCTGATTTGTTTTTATATACGCTTTACAGTTAAAATATATGTACCTATTATTTTAGTTTTCACAAAAAAATAAAATAATTAAAAACAGTTTTAATAATAAATTTATGTGAGAAATAAAAGTTTATGTATCGTATAAATTTTCTTTTCGTTAAGTAGCGTAAAAATATATTAAAGTTTACTAAATCTGTAACAAATTTATTTTAAAATAAGGATTCATACCAGTTAAACCTTGTCCTTGTTTCCGTCCTTCTAGGAAAGAGATTTTGATGAAATAAACGTGTTAAGATTATTTTTAAAACAGTAAACTATAAAAATAGCTCACTAGCGAATTGTGTTTACTCGTATCACGTAAATCTATAAAACTTTTTAAATTAATTCGAAGCTATAAAATGCATATTCTGAAGAGAAAAAAAAGGTACGTCTTTCCTCAAAGTTTAGAATTTAAAACATTAACTGTTGTTAATTTTTATCTTCGTTAATACAGTAAAAAAATTGTAACATAACTAACCTAGACGATAATCGATGACCTTAATTTTATTTTAAATAACTGATAATCGAATCTCTTAACAAAAAGTGATCCCATTGGAAGATTCATTTATTGATTTTCATCTATTCGAGACGTTTTTTTTTTTGTTAATGGATTTTATCGAAAAACTAGAATAAAAAACAAATCTTTACTCGAAAGACTCGATAAGCAACTATGACATTTTTAAATGTATCGTAAAATATAGGGCTTATTGTATTTAGGACAAAGCAACGTACATCAAAATTTCTAATAACTAGGCTATCAATCGCGGAGAAAGAGAGCAAACAAATTCATTTCGATGAACCAAATAAAGATTTTTATTATTTTTTTGCAAATTATTCTGTATGCATTTGCATTCCGTTTCAAGGAATCGCACTTATTTTTAAAGCTAAATATACAGTATATATATTAATAAAATAAACTATAGATTAAATTTAGGGTCTAAATTAAATATAAATATTTGAGATTTTTCTAACAATTACTGTATTTTTAATTCTTAAAAAAACGTTTCTTTTTGTTTCGCTGAATAGGTCATTGAAAAAATGCTAATATGAAAAAACGAAAAGTTATCAAGGCATTAAAGTTTGAACTGAATAGGAATAAACCACAGTATTTTTTTTATAGAAAACTATTTTGTTAAAGACATTGAAAATTATAGGCATTATTACGAAAAGTAAAAGGGGTTCTATAAATGAAAGACTTTTTGATCTCGAAATATCTATATGTGTTGTAAATAATCATTATATTAAGAGACTTTTTCATGCATTTTATCGATTTCGTATAAGTTTTGTTATTCCTGTAACGGTAGACAAATGATAACGCATTAAGACTACAATGGACAATAGAAACAATACAAATCATAAATTTTTGAAACGACGTTCTAATTCCAATTGACATAAAGCGCTGTAAAAACTATTAGAAAGCAATAGGTGCTGTTACTTCTTTTCAGCTAGATGGGAAATCAAGCAACCTACATATGGACAAGGCTGAGATCCAGTCGACCTCTTCTTCAGGATTGAACTGCTGACCTAAAATGGCTGGGAGAACAGGTTTCGCCGTCCTACAGACGGAATGTTTTGATGATAACGCAACAAACAAACATGGCGTTAGTGGAATTTCGTACATTTGGTTTCTGTATTTATGAAAATTTTGTTAATACAGTAAAATACGGATGTAATAAAGAAAACGGGTCTTTGTTAATGAGATCGAAATCAAAAAATTATTTCGCATGTTGATAAACATCTGGCACTACTGTTTGCTCGTACAATTGCTCGTGACATCTGCCATCAGTTTTTTTGTTTCTGGATTAGTCTTGATATTTTTAATCCTATATTTATCGTCATTTATGTCGGTTCTTGCTCTCACTTATATTCTACATTTTACTGTTTTATCTTGTTATTACACTTCTTTTTTTCCTTTAGAACTTGTCTGAATTTTTTGTTGGTGTAATCGACCGTAACTTTACAAATATAGATCCGTGGCTCAAAAACTTAAACGTAAAAATCAAAGCATTATAATGAGCACAAATTTCCTTTAATTACAAACAAAAAACGTTAAACTTCTACAGATTATAATATATATTTTTTTATTGTATAAAATTGTAATATTGCTATAATTTAACTTGCATTAAATGGAACAATAATACGAATAACTTGAAATTTCTACTGACTAATTCGAAGGTCTGCAACTTTTAGGAATGTAAACAATTTCTTTGTTTAAATGTCAAGTTTTCTCATTTTTATAAGAAAATATAATTAAATAAATAATTATTCGTATCATATACGCTTTGAACGATCAAAACATCCCTTATCATTATTCTAGTACTCATTAGATTCTCTATATTCGAAATTCATATTAATCACAGACTGTTTTCTTAATATACGAAATAAAAATAATTTAATAATGCTAACGTTCTTTTCTTCATAAAATTATCAATTTTATTAAATCAATTATCAATGCAATAAACCATTTCTCTTTTTTAAATCCCATTCATTCCAAATTTGCTACTTACATTAAAGCAGTTAAACACTTCTTTTATATTGTTGAATGAAGTGACTGTTTGAATTTTGTATGTTATTATTTCTAACAATAAAATTCACAATTAATATCTTCAATTCAATGGTTATAAATTAGATAATGATAAGAAAACCTGAAGTTCCAATTAGAATATTAATGGTTTCGATTCCATCGTATCTTCTTGTTCCAGTCTTTTATTCTCTAATTACAGGTTTTGACAAACCTTCTTAGTTGTGTGAATAGATTTGAATTTTTGCTAAGAATTTCAGAAAAAATTACGAAATTTCATCAAGAAATATATAATCGAACTGATATAAAACTGTATAATAGAAAGAAACGATAAAAATGATCGTTCTGTCTTGGATTACGCTATGTAAAATTTGATGTAGCCATCATTATTGTCGTTGTAATTTGATTCGTATCTGAAGACTGAAATTTTAAAATCCTCAGTTAGTATTCTTTTAATCTGTGCTCTACTTTTTACGCGACATCAATTTGCTTTCCATTGTTATCTGTCGGATTAAGAATAGAAAACACTTTCAGATCGAGATCACCCGCTGTTTTTGATATGCATAACTTTTTATATAAAAATCCTGATTTAATTTCGCAGACTTCTTATTTTATGAAGTGGAACTTGAAACGGGCAAATTTTTCAAAGGTTTATAATGTAAACTAACCAGATTTTAAAACTTATTCGCTTTAAATTTACAATATAATTTTATAAATATAAACTTACCTGATTGTTGCAATATAATTATTAATCCGAAAAACAAAAAAATCCATTCTGATATAGGCCTATTCGCCCTCTTGGTACACCGTGCCCAAGAGCACGGCCTCGATGCAGTAGGCATCACAAGATTATCCACATAAGAGCGAAGAGAACCGCATGGTACCTGCACGAATAATTAAATCCAGATAGGAGTATTCCTACAAATCTAAAAAATTCATGCTAAAGTTCCAACAAAAGCAAATCGACGTTTTATCTATATCAAATCAGAGCAATTGTGTCATTCATCACAGAGCTAAAAGAGTGTACGATTGCTTCTGTACCGTTATCCTAATAGACTAACGGTGCAACAGGTAAGTTCGGTGACTGACTCTGTGAACCACGTGACACAAGCGGACAGGTCCTGCCGGTTTTTAATTCTGATACCCGGATATTAATGATGTCACGTCTTTCTAAGCTCTTTTACTGCAAAAACACTTCATTGGTTCTTAAAATTCTCCGTGTAATACTATACAGTGTCAGACATCAGCACTACTAAGTAAATCCTTAAATAAAAATATAAAAGTCATCATTTAAATTAATTAACATCGTCTATACACTCATTTCTAATTGCTTTTCCTAAAATCAAAAGTACTGTACACCTTTAATTTCTGTATAAATCTGTAAACGTATATATACATAGATGGTTATGTATGTTGCATGTATATGTATGCATGTTAGATTTTACCACATTAACACCATCTTTACTTTAGAAATAAAAATCATATCCTCCTTTCATAATTTCTATAGATATTACATTTCTTGGATTTCTAAAATTTATGGTTTATTATACATTTATTAGTGCAAGTATTTGTTAATCATTTGTAAAAATTTTCATTGTATACTTAGAAATTTTAAAAACTAAGTATACAATTAAAATTTTTACAAATGATTAATAAACACTTGCATCGCAAGTAGTGCGAAAAAGAACAGGAAAAGAAAAGCCTATATTGTAAGCTTAACCTATAGGCTTTCGAGCTGAGGTTTGCTCGAGACTGCTGACCCGCTTCTTTGGCAACTTGGCCTCCAGCATTAGTTGAATGTAACACGTTTGTTCTTCCGGACCTAATCTGATGTCATTGGACTGTCCATGTGTTCTTTCAATTCGGTTTCTAAGTCAAATTAGTAATGGTTAAGAAAATGATTCATTATATTAAGATTTAAAAGTTGTATAATAAAATCGACGTATATAATTTAAAAAATTTTCCCTATAAAAACATAAGAAACAACCATTTATCATTACGTATTTCCATAATTTATCATCGAGCGTATACAATTATTTCAAATTTTAATATAAAACGAAAATAAATGGCTTCCTACATTTGCTTTTATCGTTTCTACTTATCATGTTTTTCCTATTTTTTTAAATTAATTAATATATAAAGCAGACCTTTAACTTGATGCATGCCTCGGGAAATAGAAGTTGCTAGACTTATTCTAACTGATAAAAGTGTATCCAGGGTCATTTCCTATTAAAATACTTAAAATAAAATTGTATGTAGTAAAAACAAGAAAAAAAATTACATAAAAGAAATTTGAAAATGAAAAAATTAAAATTCACGTTCATTGTAGTCTCATAAAAGTATTAATAATTTCTTATTTTTAAATTTAAAAATACTTTCCTATACATTATTTCATATATATTTGAGGTTATTTTATAGCAATTTCGCCATTTCTACGAATAATATTATTAAATAAAATTATGATTTAGAGTATTTATCATTTATCCTTATACGAAGTAAATATAAACATGGATAGCCGGATAACCGAGGCGGTTAAGGCATCAGCTTCCGAGATCCAGTGGCACATTATCCTATGAGGAAAATTGGGTCCCCACTAACAGGAGCTCCCAATACAATCTATTATAAGAAAGTATTCCCCCTAAAAAATACCCTCGAAGAAAAATGTCTGAAGTCAACACTATAATGGGGCCCCTAATTTAAATTCGCCTAGGCCCCATGAAGAGTTAGAACGCGCCACTGCCGAAATCGAATCCGGGAATTTTTCATGGACGGTCCGTCATAAATATGTTGGGACCTATCTTCACCACCGGTAGCTTCTTTTATGGACCCGAACAAACCCACGACGGGCATGGGAAAAAGTACTCTTAATGCCCACAGGACGGAAAGAAGCCAGAAATATATATAAATATTTATAAAATTATATATATATATA